ATTGGTGGATGGTGGCTAGCAGTGGAATCCAGGATGCGCATTTCGTCCTATTTGGGACTCGTCAGCTTCTGCACAAGAAGCCGACATGTCAACCTGAGACCGAGCACTTCGGTCCAATCAATCGACGGGAAAATCAAAAATTCAATTCAAGTTTTCAGAAAATTAAAATACCTAACAGGATCATGCTACCATTCTATCAATTCTCCAGTCCAATTTTCAGCAAAAATAGGAAACATTCAAGTAGATGATAATGAAATATTGGCGTTCTTTGATGTCACAGTATCATATAATTTAAATAGTCTAAAACTAGCAAAATGAACTATGCAACATCTACTCTATATTGATGAGAACACCTGGGTGCGAGTTATGGAATTATGTCTTACAACGTACTTCCAATTCACTAATCAAGCGTACAAACAGATAAAAGGAACACCAATGGCATTGCCTATATCAGGATTAAAAGCTGAAATCGTTTTGAAACATCAGAATTAGTAGCCTTCCCATAACTAAACCAAAAATCTGGGTACGTCACGTTCAGGATACATTCTTTATAATCAAAAGAAATGATTTGGAATACTCCCACAAATTGAAAAAATTGTATTTGAAGACATTAAATTCACAAAAGTAGAAGAATAAGACAGCGAAATTCCATTCTTAGATGTCGTAATCCAGAGAACTAACACAGGAAATTTAGAAACACAAGTATATAGAAAATCAACCCACACAGACCGTATACTCAACTGTAAAAGTAATAACCCGATTACCTACAAAAGAAACTATATGCAGAATTTGTTTAAAAGAATTCAAACACACAGTAGCACTGCTGTGTTGAATAGAATAGAAGAAAAATACCTTCCAGGTGTCTTCAAATAGAATGGTTATCCTCACAATTTCACCGAAAGGTGTTTAAACTTGAATCACAACACTGACGACAAACCAACATCAAAGAACACAGGAAAATTTATACTACTATATATAAAAGGATATCTCCGAAACTACAGCTAGATTATTAAGACCGTCTGAAATAGATATAGCACACAAGCCAAAACTATCACTCAATTAGATATTGTGCGAACCAAAAGATCCGACAGAAAGGAACCATAAAATTAGTATTTGTAATTATTTGTATTAGTAGTATTAGTATCTCGAGATGACCGAAATACAAGAATTCAACCAAAATACAGAGAGGGGTGAATTCAGGAATTTCTATTATCCAATATCCTGATTACGAGCTAGTATAAACCAGTGATTTTTTTGAGCTCGCTTCTTGATTGTGAGGTAGAGGTTCCAGATCTTCGGTGAGCTTCTGCGTAGTAAGTCCCACCACTCGACTGCTTTAGCTCTGGTAGACTCCAGGAGGAGTGGTGCGGGGATTGGTCGAGATGTGGTTTGTAGTATGCAGTATGTTAGGACTGTATTGCTGCCGTGAATGGAGTTTGACCTAACTCCCGTTGGTCATTCGGTGTAGTCATAAAAGCAGAATAGTAATAATAATAATAATAGGTTGTAGTGTAGATAATATAGGTTGAGATAAGTGGAATAATAAAGGTGACCTAAGGAAAAGATAGAGTGAGAGAAGGCGGAATAGGTCGTGGGGATTTAGTTTGTACGCTTATCCATTGACAGTGTGGTTTCAAGTTTTATGAGGATAAGCCATTGAGACACAAACCTTGCATTTCTGCATGATTGTCTAGCTTCCGCTTAAAAGTCTCCAGAGATGGCGCTTTAGTCACGGCCGCCGGTAAAGCGTTCCAGAGACGGCAAACTCGAAGCGAAAAAAAATGTGATCGCAGTCGAGTCTTTGATCTCTGGTGTGCTATCCTTAGCGGGTTACCTCGTGGAAGCCTACAATCACTTAATGGCAGAATGCTTTTCTTTGGGTGGGCCTGGTCATTTAAGATCTGGTAGACGGTGATGAGGTCTCCCCTGTGCCTACGGTAACTAAGTGTGAAAAGACCTAATTTCTTTAGTCTTTCCTCGTATGATTTGTTGCGGAGGCCGATCACCCATTTTGTCGCTCGTCTCTGGACATTTCTTAGAATGTTAGCATCCTTTTTGAGTAGCGCAGGTGCAATGATACTGTGCACCTCAAGGTGTGGCCTCACATATGCCGTATATAACCTTAAGAACAGTTCGGAAGTGAGAGCTCCCAGCTGCTTATGCATAAAGTGTAATGTTGCGTAGGCTTTGGCGACGTCCCTTGCGTAATTTCCACTGGTGTCTAGCTTTCCTGTTAGAATAAGACCTAGATCACACTCTGATGGAACACAACTCAAGTTCTGGCCACCAAGGGTGTAATTTACACTCTGTGACCCGCCGGAATGAAGTTGCACTACTTTACACTTCTTTAGGTTGAAAGGCATTCCGTTGGCCAGAGCCCAGTTTCCCAGAGTTTGCAGGTCAGCCTGCAATCTATCTGAGTCTTCCGATGAGTTTATTGCTCTCCAAATCTTTACGTCGTCAGCGTAAAGAAGCGCAGAGCAGTTCCGTTGGGAGGGCAGGTCGCTGGTAAAAATCAAAAACATCAACAGCCCTAGGGTAGAACCCTGAGGAACCCCTGATGCCAAGGTGTACCAGGATGATCGGATGCGGTTGACTTTGGTGCAGAATTCTCTCTCACCTAAGTAATCTTTCAGCCATGCGAAAAGTGCTACAGAAACACCCGCCTTGCTTATTTTGTGAAGGAGCAGACCACGGTGAACTTTCGCAAAGTCGAGAAAGATCACGTGGGCTGGTACCTTTTCGTCCCAGTATAGTGTCCAATCGTTCCAAGCTAGTAGAAGATTCGTCACGCAGGATCTTCCCCTCCTGAGACCGTGCTGTGCTTCGTGGAGAAAGTTAGTCCCATCGAAGTATTTTCTCATGTGGTCATCAATGAGACTTTCCAATATTTTCGATATCACTGGAAGTAGAGCAACTGGTCTGTAACTGGCCGCATTGTGCCGGTCACCACCCTTGAAGATAGGGGATAGGATTGCTCGTTTCCATTAACATGGAAGTTTCCCTACATCAAGGGAATGTTGGAACAGATCACTTAGGGGTTGGCGGAGACTTTCTGAACACTACTTCAGGACGGATGGTCTGATGTCATCACAACCTGAAGACTATCCCGAAGCCAACTTTCCCAATTTTACAAGTACCATAGCCGGGGTAATTTGAAGTGTACCCAGCAGGTTTTCGCGCGTTGGTTTGGCAATGTAATCTTGATGTTCTGTGGGGTAATATCCTCCTTACTGTCTAGTTGCCTGTGAAAGGTTAGGCTGAACGTCTCTACCATTTCAAGACTAGTAAGAGATTTCCCATCAGAACCCACTAGATTGCATGCTCCCTGGTTGGTCGGTTTTCTTTCAGACATAAACCTGTATAGGCTTTTGGGGTTCACGAGAAGCTTATTGGCGAGGTTTCCCTGAAATGTCCTTCTACCGCTCCGGACCAGTATGTTACATCGATTCCTGAGTTCAAGGTACACTTCATGTTCGGGTTGACTCTTCGATCGTCGCCACGCAAACCAGGCTTTTCGCTTCGCCTGCAGAAGGCGTTTTGTCCCCCTTTTTAGTCATGAACGTTGCTTCCCAGCTTTTGGTGAGACTAAAGGAACAGTGTCTAAGACCGCCTGGTGAATGATCTCCTTTACCACTCGTCAGTGTTCTTCTGCTGTTAGCTCTGTCCATTTTTAGGCCAATTTGCTTCAGACAGAAGTCTTCGCATTTTGGTGTAATTGGTTTTGTTATAACACAGATAGGGCTGTGTATTGTCCCACTGTAAGCGCTCGCGGAGGACTATGTCGAATACTATGACCGCGTGGTCACTACTACCTATGGGAGTCGTGATCTTAACGTTTTCCACTGGTAGCTGGTCACTAGTGAGCACGTAATCAAGTCTAGAAGACTTCCCATCAGGGCCCCATCTAGTATCCATCTTGACATTTTCAGTGAATCCAGCCTTCCTGATGGTATGCAGCAGATTTCGATCAAATCTATCATGGGCGTATCCCGACACCAAGTTAAGAGATGGGGCATTGAAGTCACCAGCTATGACAATTTGATCATAACCCATGTCTTGAGTTGCTGAGATTGTATTTAGCAGTATCTGGTTGTGGTCTGCTCCACTTGAAGGTGATCGATAAATGCTGCCCACTAGACATTTGCAGTACCCAACGGTGAAGTGGCACCATATGGAGTCATGAAGCTCAGTGAGGGGAGGGTCCATCGCGTGAACACATCTGAGCTGCTTGTCGACGTATATGGCGACTCCACCTCCTTCTTTCAGGTCCCTATCTCGCCTGACTAGGACCATATCATTTATACTGACTTCGCTGTCTGCCACCGTAGGGGTTAGCCAGGTTTCCGTCAGTATTATGATTTTGGTGTTCAGCTGTGCTTGTAGCTGCCTAAGTCCAGCTATTTTGCCTCTTATAATAATAATAATTTTTTATTTCTGTAACAGAAACCAGCCATTTTTACAGGCATGAACATATGTACACATATTAAAACTTATGGAATATATAATATGATTTGTTAATTTAGAAATAAGTTGAACACTGGTTAATGTGAGAGAAACATTTGAAATGAAGTGTACAAATAAGGAAATAGATATACCGTCAAATCTAAACTGTGATTAAAAAAAAATACATGTCAATCTCACGCGGGAATCATAAATGATTGCGTTAGTTGAGGAAGGTAAGTAGCATTTTTGTACAGGTGCTGACGTTATACATAAGAGACGTAGAATAAACAATAATTATCAGCAAATGATTCATAAAGTGTTTCAAACTATATAAAACTTCAAATTCACCCGTAAGTACACCATATTTGTGACATTTCCACTTGTTTATGGGAACGACTTTGAACTTGTCAGCAGATTTTATAATATAGGTGGTCCCGTTATTTACCAGATGAGCTAGGAATATCACGAATAAATGGAGAATAGCAGCGCTGTATCAGTACCTTCGTTGAAGGCAGTACCTTTGAAAAGAGGAGAAGACAGAAGAAAACCGACAGAGAGGAGCAGAAGTATATAAAAGGTGTTAATAATTCAAAATATATAACACATATGGGTTTCATCATTATTTTTATTGTTTTTTTTCAAGACATATTATTATCCCGATATTCTACAGCCTTTCCTGTGAACAATTAGTTTAAGTGAAAGACAGGTGATAATTTCACCTACTTACGATGTTTAAAAGGAATTAAACACAAAAGTCAGAGTGCGTTAGGTATGTAAAAGTAAAGCGAGGGCCAAGTAATATATGTTTTTCTGAAGTATACAGTTCGGTGTCCTTCTGAAGTAGCGGAATAAAACCATTTACTTTCATTCGGGGGTTTGCATTTAAACTTCGGCTCTAGGCAATTTTCAACTTCTATTTCTTTTTTTTCATTATTTTTTTATTTTTACTTTTTTATTTATTCTCATTTTGCAGAAGCCATTCGAACTCAGGAGCCTTAGCAGTAGAGTGCTGTCCCACAGATAAGGGTGGTTCTCATATGTCCCCACCATCATATCCGCTGACTAGCAGTCACCACCCTCCCACCTTCGCAGGCGTTCCCAGTTACCAGTTCGGGAATGCCATGCACAACCATGGAGGCAGAAGGAATGAGCTCTGGCGACTCCCCCGCCATTTGTCTTTCCTTCCACGGCCTGTCTGGCTTAACTCGTATGTTACAGGCCCTCCCTATAGAAAGGACTTGAGAAGCCAGTAACACTTTTTCAACATCCTCGGTAGAGCCCAATGTTACCCTCAGTGAGGATGGTTCGCCTTCAGGTGCAACAGTGCACCTATACAATCTGCACAGATTTACTGGTTGGATGTCCAAACCCAGTGTGCTACACAAGATGGACCACTGTTCCTGATCAAATAGGGCCCTATCTTTCAGCAGACTACTACTACAGTCTGGTACATTAAAGAGGATTACACAATTTGATCCGCTAACCGTGGGCTTGGGCTCGGTCCTCGTACATTTGTGATCCCCTTTAAGACCGTTTTGGTTCGTCTGGTGCGACTGGGTATTTTTGTGTGTCTCAGTGCTATGGCCAGTATTACTGGCAGGCGATAGGGGTATTTTTCCAACGACGGAAACCCGTAGTGCCCCAGCCTCTGTGCCTGGAGCGGTTATGGCAAGAGTTACAAGTTTAACCGGTGAGGATTTTGGTATCCCCGGTTTACATGCGTTTGTACTAATTTCCGGATTGGTGGGGGTCGAATATTTCACATTTTTCTTTGCTACTTTTGCGCCAACTTTAGTTTTCAGAGGACTACTCGAAGCTACATCAGGACGGCAACTCGGGCATATGTACCAGAACCACTGGCATGGGTTCTTACGCATAAAGTCATAATATGCTTTTGGTACCCCATTGTCGCTTCTGCAATGCACCCATCGCTTGCAAAAGTTACATTCGAAAGCAGTGTCTGCTTGTTCGACAACAGAAGCGCACACCTTGCAGTCGTCTGCCTTCTTGGGGAGCGTTCTTGTCGTCTTGCGACGTCGTGAACGTTTCTTTTTGGCCTTCCTATTTGTTTCATGGTCTACCATGGGGATGGGTGTTATGAAGTTCTCACTTAGTGCAATTTTCCCACTCGGCTCTGTTAACCTAGTCGTGTTAACAGTGGTGGTGCCACATCCACTTGGCTGACTTTGATAGCTTCACTGTAGGACTGTGGCGACATGGGTAATCTGTACGAGCAGGGAATATTTGCCCTGGTCTTCAAGACCGGTATGCGTGAGTCCATCAGCTTCACCTGTTCGCCTAGTTTGGCCGAAGCCCTGGTGACTACGGAGTATGATGTCCCATTACTTATTTTTAGGGTGAGAATCTATTGTCACTTTACTCCTAAATTAATACTGGTGATTAAATAATAAGAGACTGTTATTTTCTTTAATAGACTTACAGCAAAAGACAATAGAGATCACAGAAAAGAAGGATAAAGTATTTAAGTAAAAGCTTTTGACTTTACCTCCAACTTTCGGGTTATTCGGCTTCACAGCAAACACGTAACAGACCCACAAGTCCTGTTTATTTGAAAGAGTGAGGAGGATGTTGCTACAGAAGTAGCACCTGAAGCTTTGGCAGTAGCTCGAGACAGCGGGAAGTACCACACACAGGCTCGGTGAGAAAGAAATGGTTGAATAAAATTCGCCGGGTAGGAAGATCAGGTTTCCCAAACGAATAATTCACAAAATTGGATATTTCCGGTTAGAGAGGAAAAAGCACGTCTTATTGTTGATCAGACTGCCAAGTGTTTGGCAGAATTATTATTCAGTTCATTTAAGAAATATATTAACAAGCAACAGTAAGTATTTAAACAATACAGAGACAGAAATTGTCAATCAGCACATAGTTTTTTTTCCTTCACGTTCCTAGTGGAACATAGGGCTTCAAGCCAGTGACTTGAAGTTTCTGTAGCAGTGTTTAATTTTACAGGATGGGGTTGCTAGCCCCGTGCCCAACCTTTCCTCTTCACCCGCTTTACTTCTGGCTGAGTGAGGTAAAGGAGTGCGCCGGCCGGGGATCGAACCCCGGACCATAAGCATGGTCGGCGAGCATCCTAACCGCTGCGCCACCGACGCACAATCAGCACATAGTACCATCTACATAATCTATTGTATGAATTGCAATCAAAATTATATCAGTATAAGTGGGCGTCCCCTTCGAATCCGAATCCAAGAACACAAATTGTATGTAAAAAGATATGATATATATTCTTCCGTTCCAATGCATGTGAATAATTGTGGGAAAAATCTGACTGGAATAACGTAGAAACTTTAAATAGAGGAAAAACAGAAAATACCAAGAATTTCCTAGAGGTTTGATACTCAAGTGAATTAGCACTTAACAAACACATTATTATAGATTAAATCTACCAGCTAATAAAAAATAAATCACATCACAAAAATCTTCGAATCCCAAGTCAATACAAATGATCAATAAAGACGTCAATTAACAACAAGTCATAATAGTGGGCACCAAGAGATACAACTACATCACTAACGGAGAAAATCAGTTCATTTTATACTAATAATAATTTAATCATAATAATAATTGCTTTATTCCAAAAACAGTACTCATGATACAGCAAGGAATTTTCAGCATTCAGTACAATATTGCATCTAATTTACTCAAAAACGACAAAAAAATTAAAAATACACAATACATAATAGTAATAAAACGATTGTTATAGCAGCTACGTAGCAAAATACTGTGTGCCATACGGAGAAAAATATGTATAAAGTACAAAATTGTAGTAATAATAGTAATACCAACTAATATAAAATAACAGAGTAACGATTTAAACGATAGAAAGTGTACCATAAAATACAGAAAGATGAACGATAAAAGGGTCGATTCACTGTGCTAATTACATAGTAACTTGTAAGTTTCACGTCTAACAGAGTCTTCGTCACATAAAGTACGCGCTAAATAGGGTATTGTAGAATTTCTATACTTAGTAGTACGAGCATATATCTTTTTATATTGATTTCTCGTCCTACCTGATGAGATACAAGGGGACAGGTGTGAATAAAGGGGGGGCAGAGGGTCTGACATTATAGCCTTTGCCCATTTCGTACAGGAATTTATATGCCTCTCGACTATAGTATTAGCGAGCTCATGCAGTGGCAGACCACAAGCTCTACTCACAGCATTTAATACTCTTCGTAATATGATATAATCTTTTTTGAGCAGCCCAGGAAAGATTAATGGAGAGCAGTAGAGTACAATAGGTAAAATACAGGAGTTTAAAAATTGCAAAACTAAAGGTTGGTTGATACCTGATTGTCTTAACTTTTTAATGTAGAAGGTAAGACGAAACATTTTCTTAGAGATAGATAAGATATGGGATGACCATGAAAGGTCAGAGGAAAAAACTAATCCAAGGTATTTAATGCTTGATTTGGTTTCAATTTCCGTGCCATCTATGCTACAGGGATCATGCGAGTTAACTAGTTCAAGTAAGTCACGTCGATGCTTGAAAGTAAAGTCAAGTGCCTGACATTTGGAAGGATTTAATATAAGACCATTTGACTTGGACCAGTTGTTGATGTCCAACAGAAAGCTATTAAGTTTGGAGCTGTCAGACTCGGAAGTGATAGGCAGTGATACAGTCAGATCATCTGCATATTTGACAAAGTTAGTTTCGTTTGAATGAGGCAGGTCATGTAGGAAGAAAGAAAAAAGAAAAGGAGAGAGGACAGCACCTTGTGGAACACCGAATTTTGTAAGCGAGGTAGAAGAAGATTTGCCGTTATATACAGTATACTGCATTCTATCAGAAAAATAGGAATGCAACCAACTCTTAGCCCAGGATCCTGTTTGTGTCAACGATAGCTTATTTAACAAAAAGCCCCTAGGTACAGAGTCAAAAGCAGATGTGTAGTCTAAGAAAGCACTACGAACATATTTAGCACCTTTGTCTAAACAAGAGACAACATTGTGATATAAGACAACCGCAGCATCCAAGGTACTTCTACCATGTTTGTATGCAAATTGTTTAGGATCATTAAAAGGTTTCAAAGCGGGTTCAAGACGAAGTAAAAGTAATTTTTCCATCAATTTTAAAAAGGGGGAAGTAATTGCAATAGGCCGAAATTTAATATCAGAACCAGAAGATGGTTTTGGTATAGGGATAATTTTAATGTTTTTCCATGCAAAAGGTAGAACGTTACCGGAAAAAGAAGCATTAAAAATGTTAGTAAGAGGATAACACAAAATATCAGCACAATTCCTGAGGACAATGGCAGGTATGCCGTCAGGACCAAGGCTTTGAGAAGGCTTAAGAGACCGGAGACATTTAAGCACATCAAGGGTATTAAAACCACTAAAGTTATTGTCAATATGATTTGTATCATTTGGAAGGGTATCAACAGAAGAGCGTATGAAAGATTTATTAAGAGTGTCAACATTAAGAGATGGAACAGAAATACATCGCTTACCGTTAGTAATTTCTTTGAAAAGTTTCCATAAATTAGAAGGGGTTTTACATGACAAAAATCTTTGATTATATAAAACATTTTGTCTTTTCATTTCGAGTTTTATCAGAGTATTTAACTTTTTTACACCAGGCTTATCATGTGTTTTGAACAACAGTTCTTTATTTCTACCTAGCCTCTTGAGATATGGCGAAGAGAAGCGATCAAATCGAATGAATAATGTTTCTTTAGGACAACATATTTCGAAACAGAATTTAAGATAAACAGTAGTGTTTGTGATTGTTTCATCAAGTGCTTGTTCTGTAAATAAGTCCCAGTTAGTGTCTTTCAATATGCATCTGAGCTTGTCTAGGTCGTCTTTTGAGTAGCATCTCCGTTGAACTTTAGTGTAGATGTGAGAGAGGACACCTTTGTGTGATTTGGAATATATTTTAGGCAGTACACGTATGATGCAGTGGTCAGAATTCAGTAGAGGAGCACGTTTGCGAGTTTCATATATGCCAGCATCATTAATGAATACTAGATCCAGTTTTTTACCAAGACGGGTGGCAAAGTTAACAATATTGTCATGATCAAGTGATATAAGGAATGAGCAATCGCTTCCATTGAAGTCGCCAGTTACTTTTGATAAAGGGTTCTCAAAACAAGCTGCAGCAAACGCGGTGAATTCATCGGCGAACATAGATAAATCCAATATGGTACAGCCAGGAGAGACATAAACATTAGAAATATAAATGAATTTGTATTTTGACAGGTGTTTTGGGCAACATCTCACAGTGATGCAATCAATGAAGTCATTCGAGAATTTGAAACAAACTTTGTTAGAAATGGACCATTTTGAGTGAATAAAAGTTGCAACACCTCCGCCACATTTTTTCTTGGAACAAACACGGTCTTGTCGAAAAACATTGAAATTGTTTAGAGACACAATATTGTCATCGTATGAGTCATGGAGCCAGGTTTCTTGTAGAGTGACAACACCGGTATTGTGGTAGGTACTAGAAGACAACAGAGACTGAAAATCCAGAATTTTATTAAGCAGGGACCGGCAGTTGGTACTAACGATAACCGGAATAGTGGTGTGATGTATGGATGTAGATTTTAAGGCATGCTGCCAACCTCCATGGTGCTTTTTCTTGAGTTTATTGCAAATATGAAAGTTTTTGGGTTTAAAACGTTTTATAAAATCCCGGGAGTAGATAATCCGATTAGAATGCATAATGTGATATGTAAATACCAATAAAATGCGAGTAAATAGATGCAAAGTGTACATGGAATGTGGTAGCCCAAAAATATTCAAACAGGCCGCCAATCATAGGATATATTGCCTAGATGGACGACGGAAGTTTCGCATCTAAATCAAACAGCTCAGAAAAACACCGATTCAATATTATTCACCTGTCCTGTACATCTTCTCAAACAGTTTCTGACGCTTTAGGAAATCATAATAGTTCAGGTGAATTCACTTAATTTTTCCACGAATTATTCGTCTGACAAAATTGCTGGACATTTTCCGCAAGACAGCGGCTGAGCTCATGCAACTCATATGCCAGTCTTGATAGTTGACAATAGCAATATACTTATTTCTGTGTTTGTAGGAATAAATCACTTTTATAGACGTTGGTAAGTGTTATTTAAATTACGTAAATATGGCTTTATGTTGAAATTACACGCTTGCTGTCCTTCTCGATTAAGTTTGTGGAGACAGTCTGCTAACTAGCTAATCAATGGAGCACATTAATAAATATAGGAATATTGTCTTCACACAAACAAGAAAACCGAAGGGTCAGTGTAGTTGAAGATTGAATGACCAATTCATGGTTGTTTGCGCAAACCCAACTCGCCATATTTTTCGCGGGCGTCATCAATACGGCAGTCATCGTCTCATCGTTCGGTGGAAAACAGAAAACTATCAGAAGTATTATCGTGATTTATTTTTATAACATTTATTCTCAGATTTTGTGTATAATAGCCTTATTGTTGGTTACATATCGGCGTAAGAATAAAGGATCCTCGAGTCGCCAATCTGTGTTCTGGTTTTTTGCGTTCGTTACTACAAAGTGTTTCCGAAAGTCTTCGAGGGACAGCGTGAGGTCCAGTTTAGTAAGACCAGGGCATTGACAGTTTCTGATAGTTTCTGTTCGTCTTTCCTCGTGTCTACCCGTTTTCTTTGGACATGTGTCATCTGGAACTTTTCTGGATTTCTGGTCAAGATCGGTGACGCCTGGGTCAAAGAAGTGACAAAGCGTCTCAGAAGCATACAGGAAAGTAAGTAATGCTGAGTTGCTTGTCAATTACAATGATATGTATGATGATCAGCATGATGAGTCTGTTGTTCATGTTTCGCAGTCTAGGGATAATAGGAATTTCAAACTGCCTAAATA